CCCACTGTCATCAGCTACAGCGCTGGGATCAGCGCTTGCAAGAAAGGTGAGCAGTGGCAGCGGGCCCTGTCGCTGCCCAGCCGCATGGTCGAGACGAAACTTGATGCCGATGCCTTCATCTACAGGACTGGGATTTGCGCTTGCGAGAAAGGGCAGCAGTGGCAGCAGGCCCTGTCGCTGCTCAGCCAGATAGTCCAGACGAAATTGGAGCCCACTGCCATCTCTTCTACAATGCAGCGATCTTTGCGTGCCAGAAGGTCCTCTGTCTTGAAATTTTGGCCGGGCACTCCAGGCCGCCCTGCGAGCCCCCGGGCCGCTCCGAGACGGCTCAGAGACGCCCACGAGGGCGCCCGGACAGACCAAGAGGGACCCAACCGAGCCCCAGGTCGGCCCCAGAGGCCTCCAAGGCAGGCCAGGAGGCTCCCAAGGCGGCCCAGGAGGACCCCCAGGAGGGACCCAAGAGGCACAAATTGCCCCATTCCATTCGGAAAACGTACATTTTTGATGTGCTCGCTCTTTTCGTCTTCACCGCGTCCAAGACGGTCGCCCCAAGACGCCCCCAGAGCACCCCAGGAGGGCCCCCAAACGGCCCGAGGCGGCCCCGCGACGGCTCCAGAGACGCCCTAGACGGCCCCAGAGGCAACCAAGACAGCCCCAAGAGCGGTCAGTAACGGCCCAAGACGGCCACAAGATGGCCCCAGAGGCGCCCAAGACGGCCCCAGATCGCTCCAAGGCGGCCCAAGATGCACCCACGACGGCCCAAGAGGGCCCGAGAGACCCCCAGGAGGACGAAAAGAGGCTTCCAAACGGACCCCATGAGGCCTTGAAAGCTTGTCTCTTGGGGAGCGTCGACGACTGACGAGAAGATCGACGGGATGAAGGATCGAGGGGAGGAGGAGGAGGAGCACACCCAAAATGGCCTCCAGCGCCGATAAAAGCCACCGAGATGTCACGAGCATGATCCGAAGGAGGCCCCAAGACGGTCCAGACACACCGAGATGGCTCCTAAAGAAGATCGACTGGATGACCGATCCAGGGGAGGACGAAGAGGGCGGCCAAAATGGCCCAAAAGCCGATACTAGGAGCCACTGAGATGTCACGAGCATGCCCCGAATAAGGCCCCAAGAGTGTCCAGACACCCCGAGAAGGCTCCTAACGCGCAGCCCAAGTAAACCAAAGTGACAATTACTTAACAGTTTCTCCAGCGTCCTATCGGTGATCCTGCCATACACCGGGCGCCTGAGCGGCCCCAGGGCGGGCCGTCTCGGCGCCATCTTGCGGGCCTCTTGGGTCGTATATCACGCGGCCCCAGCTAAGAGCAGATACAATTATCACGGCGACCCGCCCCGCAAAAGCTATGATGAACACAGAGCGCGGCGTGAGAAACAGCTTCTGTCCACACCACGTTGTGCCTACACATGCGTTGCTGCCTTCAGGCCTGCTTGCCTGCATCCCTTGCTCACCTCCCCCTTCAGCGGCCACTTTCCCATCCACACCGCCCCCTCCAACCTCCCCCCCGCGAGGCCTCGGAGACGCTCCATTTCCACGTCCACACCATGGCGGGCAGACTCCGCGGCCGGAAGGCCGCGGGTCAGCCCTAGTCAGCTACAGCGCTGGGGTCAAAGCGTGCGAGAAGGACGGGCAGTGGCAACAACAGTTGATCATGCTCAGAATCATGCGTTTGAGAAAGGTGGATGCTGATTTCAATGTCTACGGGATTGTAGCCATCATGTACGAGCAAGGGGGACAATGTAGCCAAGTACTGTCGTTCTTCACGGAGGTGCGTGACCGAATTTCGGTGGAATGATACAGTAAATGCTGCACTGCTCTCTCGAGTGTGTTCGACAAGGCTATGCGTTTCAGCTGCATCGCTGGGGCCAGCGAGTGCGAGATGGGCGAGCAATGGCAGCGGGCTTTGCTGCTGCTGGGCGAGGTGTAGGAGGCGAAACCGAGGCCCAACACTATCTCTCCTAAAATTCAGCGACCTTTGCGTGCGAGAAGGTCCTCTGTCCCGAGAGGCCCCCCAGGCCCTCCATGGGCGCCCCGTGAGTCCCCCGGGGCGCTCCGAGACGGCTCCGGGCGGGGTCCCAAGATGCCCCAAGACGGCTCAGAGACGCTCACGAGGGCGCCCGGACGCCCGATCCCCCAAGCGAGCCCCAGGATGACCCCAGAGGCCTCCAAGACAGGCCAGGAGGCCCCCGAGACGGCCCGGGCAGGAGAGCCCCAGGAGGCTCGGAATTCGTGTTTTTTTGAATATGTTCGTTCTTTCCGTTTGCGCAGTCTCCAAGACGGCTGTACAGGCCCCCAAGATCGCCCAAAGACGCGCTCAGACGCCCCCAGGAGAGCACCAAAACGGCCCGAGACGACCCCGGGACGGTTCCACAGGCGCCCGAGACGGCCCAAGAGGCACCCAAGACAGCCCCAAAAGCGCTCAATAATGGCGCCAAGATGGCCCGAGAGGCGCCCCAAACCGCCCGACATCGCCCCAAGACAGCCCAAGGGGCATTCAAGACGGCCCAAGAGGGTCCCGAGAGACCCCCAGGAGGACGAAAAGAGGCCCCCAAACGGCCTCCAAGAGGCCTTGGATGTTTCTCTCTTGGGGAGCGTCGAACTTCCAGCGTCGTCTTCGGGGCCTCTTGGACCCTTTGGAAGCCATCTCTGGGCTTTTTGGGGATGTCCTGGGGCGGTGCGCTCGAGAGGTCGATTCGTGTCCTCGCACCGGGGCTCGTCTTAAGATGTTCGTGGGGCCCTCTTGGGCCGTCCGGGAAGCGTCTTGGCCCGTCCTGGAGACTTCTTGGGCCGTCTCGGCGCCTTCTTGCGGGCCGCTTAGGCAGTGCCCGCCGGCCCCGATTTCACCACACTACCAGATAACGTCATCATTTGGCCCCGACGAAAAGCTGATACAATTTTCACGGCGACCCGCCCCGCAGAAGCTACGTATGATGAACACAGCGCGGCGTGAGAAACAGCTTCAGTCCACACCATGTCTTGCCTACATGGGTGTGCTTCCAGTGACACCGCCTCCACCACCGCGTCCGTGCCTTCAGGCCTGCTTGCCTGCATCCCTCGCCCACCTCCCCCTCCAGCGGCCGCCTCCTCCATCCACACCGCCCCCTCCAACCTCCCCCCCCCGCGAGGCCCCGGAGACGCTCCACTTCCACGTCCACACCATGGCGGGCAGATTCAGCGGCCGGAAGGCCGCGGGTCAACCCCAGTCAGCTACAACGTTGGGGCCAGCCCGCGCGAGAACGGCGCACTCTGGCCGCCGGTTGTTGTGGCGGTGCCGAGCGAGATGCGGGATGCGTACCTGTAGCCCGTCGTCATCTCTCTGGCGTCACCTCTCCGGGACAGCGAGCAGCTACAGCAGGCTCTGGAGATGCTCGACCGCGGAGGCGGAAGCGGGGCAGCTGAAGAAGCGTGAGTCCGAGCTGTTGGCAAATCTCCGAGGAGGCGGCAAGATACGACGCATCTGCCGCGAGTGTCCCGCCCGCTGCCTTTGACCTCCGCGCCCACGTGGTACGTGGCAGGTCGAGCCGACGCGTCCAAGCGGCCCGTGAGGCCTGTGCCTGGAACGTACGCGGCGGGGCGCGCCAGACTTCCCCGCCTCCCGTTGTCTCCTTCCCTTGTCTTCCCCCTCGGTCCCCTCCTGGTGCAGTCGGACCGAGGTAGAAGATCGAGGTCGGTTCGGGGAGGTATCCTAGCGTTCTTCGTGTTTGTTGGACGTTACTGTGCATCCTGGGGAGGGTACCCTTGGATGTTCTGTGCGTTGTGGCCGGCGGGATGTTCTTCTGGTCTAGGTCCGACTATACCCCTGCCTCTGGATTGGTTCTCGATTTCCTCTCTCCTGCACTGCTCGTCGTCATCGAACTGCCCCAGAAAATGCCAGCCCGAGGCAGGAACAACAGCGGAGTGGGCATAGCGCGTTGGCCCGCCCCCAATCAGCATTCTGACCTCGCGCTGAGCCACCCTCCGCCTCCCTCTCGTCCTCTTCCTCCTTGTTCCTTCTCCAAACAGGTACGTGTGAGAAAGCGAGAAGTGGCAACGGGAGATGCGGGTGGCGGGAGAAGCAAAGCAAAACATATCCTGACAGACGTCCAGCGACCACCCTGCATGTCCTGCATGCAGCGCGCTGCAGGGCTCGCAGAGCCGCTGGCAGACTGGCGGAGGACCCACCCCAGACTCCCAAGACGGATGGTTCCGACACCGCAGCCCGCGTGGCATGCAGGTCGTCGGCGCCAGCTCCCAAAACATTTTATGGAGTCCGGACTCTCGGACGTTTCCCCTGTCTGCCGGGGAAACCCAGCGGCGGCTGCAGCCGCTGGCGGAATGCGCCCGAATGGAGAGAGAGAGAGAGAGAAGCACAACAAAAAAGAAACAGGAGGGAGAGGGGCCGGGGGACGCGGGAACACGGGGGAAAAAGGGGCCCTGGGCCCAAATCCGAAGCACCGAATCTTGTCGTGAGGCGCACCCTGGGAAGTCTTGAAGGCCCTGGAGCTTCATTCCCGTGACTAGCACTTCATGTCTGGAACCACCAATGGTACAGTCGGACCGACATACGAGATCGAGGTCGGTTCGGGAAGGGTTCCCTAATGTCTGTCGTGCTTGTTGGATGCTCTTGTGCATCCTCGGGAGGATCCCTTGGATGTTCTGTGTGTATTGGCCAATGGAGGGTCCCATATTCTTGAAGGGTGTTCCTCTGTCCCAGGATATCGTTTTCTTGTCCATTGTTTGGCCGATCGGCGCGGACCCTCGCCCCCCCCCCCACTCCCCTCCCCATGGAGTAGACCTTGGCTGCCTTTGGCGCCAGTTCCGAGCAGACGGAATCTCCCCCATAGGACGCACTGTTGCAAACAGTCGCATTGGGCAGGGGTCCAGAGCCAGACCCCCCTTTTCCGCACAACGTCGATACGCCGAATACGAAAACGTTCATGGGGTCCGACTCTGTACAGCGACTGGCGGGTCATGGGGTGGCGGCCGCGCCCGCGCGCAGCTCGCCAGAGGACCGGCGGCGGACGCTGCTCGTTGGCCCTCGGCCACGCGTCCGACCACGTCGCGCTGGCCGCCGCGCTCCTCGGCTGGGCGGAGGCCGATCGCCGAGGGCGCCAGGGAAACAAAGGAGGAGGACGAAGGGGAGGAGGAGGAGGAGGAGGAGGAGGAGGAGGAGGAGGAGGAGGAGGGAGGAGGAGGAGGAGGAGGAGAAGGCGGAGGGGAGGAGGAGGGGAGGAGGAGGAGGAGGCGGAGGAAGAAGAAGAAGCAGGAGGAAGAAGAAGAGGAGGAGGAGGAGGAGGAGGAGGAGAAGGAGGATGAGGAGGAAAGGGGGGACGAGGAGGAGGAGGAGGAGATGGAAGAGGAGGAGGAGGAGGAGGAGGAGGAGGAGGAGGAGGAGGAAGAGGAAGAGGAAGAGGAAGAGGAAGAGGAAGAGGAAAGAGGAAGAGGAGGGGAGGAGGAGGAGGAGGAGGAGGAGGAGGAGGAGGAGGAGGAGAGGAGGACGACGAGGACGAGGACGAGGACGAGGAGGAGGAGGAGGAGAGAGGAGGAGGAGGAGGAGGAGGAGGAGGAGGAGGAGGAGGAGGAAGGAGAGGGAGGAGGAGGAGGGAGGAGGAGGAGAGAAGAGGGAGGAGGAAGGAGGAGGAGGAGGAGGAGGAAGACAGGAGGAGAGGAGGGGAGGACGAGGAGGAGGAGGAAAGGAGGAGAGGAGGAGGAGAGGACGAGGGGGACGAGGAGGTCGAGGAGGACGAGGAGGAGGAGGAAGAGGAGGAGGAGGAAGAGGTGGGAGGAGGAGGGAAGAGGAGGCGGACGACGAGGACGAGGACGAGGAGGAGGAGGAGGAGGACGAGGAGGAAGAGGAGGAGGAGGAGGAGGAAAAGGAGGAGGAGGAGGAGGAGGACGAGGACGAGGACGAGGAGGAGGAGGAGGACGAGGAGGAGGAGGACGAGGAGGAGGAGGAGGAGGAGGAGGAGGAGGTGGAGGAGGGAGGAGGAGGAGGAGGAGATTTGGACACCCCGCGTTCCGTGAGAGGCGCGGCGGGCCCCCCTCGGCGAGGACGAGGAGGAGGGACCAGGAGGAGGAGGAGGAGGAGGAGCAAGAAGAGGATGAAGAGGAGGAGGAGGACGAGGAGCAGGAAAAGGAGGAGGAGGAGGAGGAGGAGGAGGAGGAGGAGGAGGAAGAGGAGGAGGAGGAGGAGAATGACGAGAAGGAGGAGGAGGAGGGCGAGGAGGAGGAGGAGGAGGAGGAGGAGGAGGAGGAAGAGGAGAAAAACGATGATAGAGAGGAAACGGCCGCGGCGGTGGCGGCGGAGGAAGAGGAGGAAGAGGAGGAAGAGGAGCAGGAGGAGCAGGAGGAGCAGGAGGAGGAGGTCCGCAGCCATTTCGGCTCAAGGGTAAACGTTTCCAAGGGGCGGAGACCCGAGAACCAGCGATTACCTTTGGCTGGTCCGTTCCTATTGCTCGAGCGATCGGGAACCAGCCGGCAATTTCCCGCACTTTCTCCCCGACGGCTCACTTCCGCCGTCGGCTTCTATTCGGGGTCGCATTCTTCCTCGCGGCGGTTGGGGCCGCCACAGTCAGCAGTGATCAGCCATGTCCGTCTTCGCTTCGTCTGGCACGGGTTTGGCAGGCTCGCCTGGATCAGATCTACCGCGGGTGCCACAGCCGACGCCGAGGTTGTGCATACCGGCTTACAGCAACAGATCGAGGCTCTCCGCTCGGAGCTCTTGTCTGAAGTCACGAAGACATCGACGGCCATGCAGGGCTCGCTCAACGGTTTCTCGTCGAAGGTGGTCAAGAGATGCACGGATATGCAGAAACAGGTGGAGGAGCGAATGTCTCGCACTGAGAACGTGCAGCGTACGCAGGGTGCGGGGATCAAGGAGCTGTAGGAGGATGTCAAGAAGTTCATGGCGGAGTTGGGTCTGCCCAAGACGGAGCCGAAGCCAGTCACCACGTTCATACCGATCCCGTTGGAGTCGAACTTCAACCGCGAGATCGACATTTCGGTCATCATTGTGCGGTGCAAATACCAGTGCGCCAAGAAGGCTGTGGAGCAGGCTCCGCAGCCGTGGCTTCAAGGGCTCAACATGGGCGCGGGTGAGGTTGAGTTGCAGGGGGGCCCGACCGACAAGCGCTTCACGATCCAGTTCAAGGGCTCGAAGGCATTCGCAGGGAGACGTGTTCAACAGGCGTCGGCACTTCTTCGTCCACCAGCGCCAGGACATGATTGGCGGCGTTTCCACGCGACGGCGGTGTCGGGCGAGCAGTCGGAGCTCTTCGTGGGCCCCGATAAGAATCTTTGCCAAGTACGCCGAGAGTTGGCGCTCAAACAGACCATGCGCTACCTTCAGTTGCAGCACCAACGCGAAAAGTTGTTCGTGGACAAGCTGCGCGGCACAGTCTCAGCGAATTGGCGCCAGCTCGTGCATATTACACCGGTGCCTGACAGTGACGCGCCGCAGATCCGCTGGGCTGAGGAGAACTTGCAGCTCGAGGGATGTCGAGGGCGCAGCTGCAGGGCGGGCTGAACAACGCGCTGGAGGGCGACGGGCACACCTCGTGGTCTCTTCAAGAGGGCCCGCGCCCTGCGGGGGGAGGGCGGGGGGGGGGGGGGGCGCCCGCAAGGCCCACGCGCCGCTCCGCATTGGCGCGTGGAATGCGCAAGCTCTGATGCACTTCCAGCCAGCAGTCAGATGAGCTAAATTCAAGTATCTCCGCCGCCTCCTCCGCCGTGGGCCAATCATTGCCGCGCAGGAAGCCCGCGGCACGAATGCTGAGATTGAAGAATTCCTCCACTCCTCGAACCTCGACGTCGGGCATACCTCGCCCCTCCTCCCTGCAGAGCGCGGCGCTGGTGGAGTCATCATTTTTCCGCATTTTAGTCCAAGCGGTGAGAGAGCTAGGCTTTTCGGTGACGAGCGCCCTATAGTCCCCCCCCTGAGGCCCTGGTTCCAGGCCGAGTATTGTTCACAATGTTTGCAGCAGCTAATCGTTCAGCATGGATAGCGCGCTACAGCGTTCATGACCATGGTCTTAGCGAAGCCCAGCGTCAATATGTTACTCGGCACATCCTCGCAGCCATCCCCGACTCGAAAGAAGAACCGCAAAGTATATCAGCGATCGTGGCAGGGGACTTTAACTTCGGGCTGCAGGCCCCGGCCCCGCCCACCCCGACCGACGTTGAGTTTGCAGCCCCTCTTCCTCCTCTTCAGCAGCCTCCTGGGTGGCGGGGCGTTGTGCGGCAGCTCGCCGAGTCTGAGCGGGAGGCCCCGACGCACTTCCACGCGGGCGCGAAGCACCTCTCGTTGATCGCCTTTTTTGCTCACCTCCTGGGTGGGTCATCTCGCAGCAGGCCGCTAGTGGCGAGGTTACTGGGATCCCCGAACAGTTGCAAGCCTAGCAGATTTCCGCCCATGCAGCTGCATGTGCAACGTTGGTTCGACGCCCCCCGCCCCCCGAGGCCTCGACCCATCCCGAAGGAGATCTCCATGACTAGTGAGCACGCGCAGTTTTTGCAGAAGGCGGTGGATGCCGCAGAGTTTGGCCACTTGAGTATCCCCCTGCAGCACGAGTACTATAAGAAGCCCATGATAGAGGCAGCGCGGAATGCACGCAACGCTATTGTTCTACACAAACCACACAGTCATCAAGCTAGCTACTCCATGATACGTAGCTCTGCGCGCGCTGTAATTCGACAAGATGTGCGCCTTGCAGAGCGCTTGATACTCACGCGCCATCTCGCGCGTGAGCACCTAGACTTAGATCTGGAAGACGGCTGCGTGCTTCTCGTCGAACCTGTCAAGTTCACCCAGCTCTCTGATCAGTTGCGCGCCGAGCTTGCTGGGAAGCGACGCCGTGAGATTCAGGCGAGCATCGACGCGGCCGCCAATGAGCACCGTCAGAATCGCATACGAGGGCGGGCGCAGAACATGAACCAAGCTGCCCAGCTTTGGTCGCCATTGGACAAGCGAGCGCGCCTCTCGGGCATCAGGGTCCAGGGCCAGACCACGCAGGAGCCGAGCCAGGTCCTCCAGGGTCTCGCTGATCATTGGAAACCTGTGTTTAGGGGCAAAGAGTTTGACGACTCCAGGGCTCAGGACTTCCTCAGGACTCATGTCCCCCAGGTGACGCGCAGTGATCTGCCGCCCTCCACCCTCAAGTTTTTGCGGAACTTCTCGAGGCGCCAAGAGGGCGCGGGGCCAGGGCCTGACCGGCTTAGATGCGCTTCCTCGCAGAGAGCGCCATGTGGCGCCGACGTTCTTTTTGAGAGCCTGCAGTGGATCTTGCAGGGCTTCGCTCTGGTCTGGCACTCCAATGAGCTCTTGCGCGTGTTCGCCCCCAAAGGCGCGGAGGCGAACGACGCGGAGGGTTTTTTTCGGGGCGTCGGGGGCGCCGGGCCCACGGGCCTCAATGACACCGATTGCAAGTTTTTGACGGGAGTCTGCTATTTTGAGCGTTCTCGTCGCGTGCCTGCTGGACTCGACTCGAATCAACGTGGTTTTGCCTCTGGCAGAAACTTCCGTTCGAATATCGTGGACCTGGGCGCGCGCTCTCGCGCGTATTCCATGGGACCTAAATCATCGCTTCCGCTCCTGGTGGGTTTCGACTCCGGCCAAGCCTTTCCCAGCTTGTGCCCGCGCTGGCTAGCGCTCGTGCCTGATGCGCTGGATCTCCCTCCGCCTCTTCGGTGGTTTTTTGACATTTTATACAGCAGTGTTATATGCTCGGGGAACATAGGGGGAGTGACCAAGCTCATGCACTTCATCGCTGCAGGCCAGGTATAATCCAAGGGTGCCCAGCCTCAGGCCTTCTCTTCAGCCTCGCGCTCGATCCGTTTCTGATCGAGTTTCGAAGAGTGGTGGGCGGCGCGGGCCGCGGCCGCACTCGGGCGTGCGCCGGCGATATCGGCATGGCGCTCTCGCGCATCTCTGTCCTGGCCGAGGTCGCCTCGGTCTTCGCGCAGACCCGGCACATCGCGCGACTCGGCCACCCCCGACTGCGTCGACAGGCATCGGTCCTGGATTCGGAATTTCTGAGCAGCCTGGGGAAATATTGATATCTCGGGAAAGCTGAAGTACCTGGGGATGCATTTTGGCC